TGTGGGGAAATGCCATCGTCTTTGATTCCCTTTTCCCACACATTTATGCAAGCCCCAGCGGGCATTCCCATGTTTTAATGCCGCGTGCATGTGGTAGTGTAGTGGTTACGAGTTGGGCTGCTAGCCCCGGGGTCAGTGGTTCAAAACCACTAGCTGCTCCCTCAGGAGAAAGCTGAGGCTGTCGACCACCATAGTCACGGTCTTGGACACCCACAGGGGCCGTTCTCCCCTGTCCTGCCGGCTCATTAAACATCGGGGTCTACTCGATGGCAGTGACTTGGTTTTTGCCGTGTGGCGTTTCCGTTACGGATCAGACTAAGATGCCAACACAGACGGACACAGTGGCCTGTACTGTCCCAGGAGGGACACGCACACGCCCGTGAGAGGGCTCGCCTCTGGGCAAAGGAACTAGATGGCGGCTTGGGATCAAGGGTAGCAGGGAGACTGCTTTTGTATTGTGTGAATTTTTCTTCTTATGCGTCCATTTTCAGGAGTCACGGATCCTACAGAAAGTGCTCAGTATTGACAGTGTTCAAATCCTGTATTTCCACCAAAAGAATGTTCGGGTTTAAGCTGCCCCAAGTCTGTGCTCACAGTGGTATGAGACAGTAGGAAGAGAATCTTAGAAGACAGGAAGAGCAGAGGCCAAGAGGACGTGAAGAGTGACCCTCCCCTCAAAGGGGACATCAGCTCGGGACCTCGTCTTGCTGGAGGCTGGTCCCTGCACAGAGGACCACCCCCCACCCTGGAATCGGCCTGTGGCGTGAAGGGCTCTGACAGAGGATCTTGTGGAGGTCTTTCTGGCCCTGGCAAGCTGCACCTCTAAGGTCCTACACAGAAGTGAAGACTCGGGAAGGCCAACGCCTACCCGAACATCCACGTCACAGGTGACATCCCAGGGAGGAAGCACGTAAAGCGACGTTGTAGACTTACTTCTTTCAGGTGCCTGTAAAGTAGATCATTGTTTTTCTCCAGGAATCCTGCAAACAGTGGATAAAAAAAATTCTTCAACCAACATTCTCGTAAAAAAAAAAGAAGGAAATTGGTTGCAATGTACGGCACAAAGGGAGATCCTAAAGTTCATTTCTTAGAATGAGACCCGAGTCTCTCTACCTCGGCCCTCTGGCCACTCAGGGCTGGATAAGTCAGTCCCAACTCAGAGTGACCTGAGCGCACCAGGAGGGACCACCGCCCAGGCTGGGTGCCCCTCAGCTATGCTTGAGCCGTTGTTGCAGCCACTGTGTGGAGCCATCTGACCGAAGGTCTTCTGTTTTTCTGACCCTCTACTTTACCAAACACGATGTCCTCCTGGACTCTCCCGATACATGTCCAAAATATGTGAGACAGTCTCACCGCCCTTGCTTCCAGGGCACACGTGAATGCATGGCCTGGAACACCTGAACTGGGTGTGTTTCCTCCGTGGACTCACTGCGTTCT